GTCAGAGACGAAGTATTAGATTGGTGAGAAGTTAACGTCGGTTTTCGAACTTTCGAACTTTGACCCTTCGTTTTGGGATAACAGTTCACTTTTGTTTTTACTGTTAATTTGTGCTCACTGCAAGTTCTTTACTTCGCAATGGATGCTAAGCAAGTTCGTGTAATATTCTTATATGAATATAAACTGGTGCATTTGGAGAAGATACCGTAAATGAACGCACGGTGTAGCGTTGGTTGAAACAATTTTGAAGTGGAGATGAGAGCCTCGAAGATGAAGATGGAAGACGACCGCTTAAAAATAATTTTATTTATACTATATGATAGAAAAGAAAAATAATCCGTGCAACAGCACTGCGAATAAGACAGTCCAAAATTCCCTTGGACTCGTGCGCTCCGCTGCGATTCCCACTCGAGTCCATGGGACTGGAATGGGGGGCCCCGTGGAACAAGGAAGAGCAACCACGGGGTCAAAGAGTTGGACAAGCGCTGTCAGGGTGTTCTAAGTTCTGACGACTCCGTGGTCCATTAGATAGCGAGGATCATAGGTCTCAACTGGAACCGCGGGTTCCAGTGAATGGCCCTAACGAGACGTCCAGAACGTGAGACAGAAAGACTTGGCGCGGAGGGGGAGGAGGAAAGTGTCCGAAGCGGAGGCTAATTAAGCGAAACAGCCCGGCGCAGCCGACGCACGGAAATTACAGTTAATAATACCGCGCGGCTAGAATGCGTCCCGGGACCAACCGACTGTATTCATAATGATTCCTCGATACGATTGGACGACGATCGGCCGCTGGAGTCTCCCCTAAGATCTCCTCGCATCGATAAGAGAGACGATCGTCGGGATTCGAGAGATCCGTATCTGTAATCGCCGGAGCTTTTACATTGAAATTTTCATCGCGTTCCCGCCACGCGGAAAACGTTCCAGGAACGCGACGCGATACGATTATCGTTATTAACCGTGGACGGGGCCTGAAACTTTCGGAGGAAGCGCGCCGTGCCCCGAGTGTTACGCGATTATAGTGATCCGCTCGGTTGTTATTACAAGATCGGTTCGAGCTTTTCGAGGAAACGGATCAACCGATAGCTGGCGAAATAACGTGAATCGAGGCTCATGGCGAGGCGCGCGCGCGGTGTCAATCGGCTATTTACGACGCCGCGAATTGAAAGGTTGGTGTAAATACGGGTCTACGATTCAATTAACCCCCCGACGCGTGGTTAACTTGTGGCGAATATCCATTACGGAAACCGCGAGTATTTTCAATGAATTATGCAAAAACTTAAAACTGGGAGAATAACGGTAATTTAATAGCGTACAGCATATAGAAGTATATAGAAGGTATCAAATATTTTACTAAATGCATTCGTTTGATACAAGTTTGATTTTACAAAGAAGTGTACCAAACTTATTTAGCTTGTGTATTATTTTGTCTTAAAAAATTACTTTGTCCCTACTATTTAAAAAAAAAAAAAAGACAAGAAATCCACAACTAAACATTAAATCCGAAGAATGCTGCATAACACCTCGATTTTAAAATATCTTTAAAAAAATTTAATGTTTTGATCAGTCTTCTACTTCGATTGAAAATTGATCTCCATCTCGATTCGTTAAATTCACGAAACAGAGGCGAGGTTCGTTTTCTCTGTCAATGCATCTTCGTGGTCGGGTCGAGCGCGTTTCTGCTGGCGTGCGGCGAGCCACAATAGCTGTTTGCATAAATCTTCGAGTCGTTGATTCACGAGGAACCGAGAGGTTCGCGTGCGTGCGCTGCGTTACGCAATGTTCCGTGTTGTTCCTCGTGCTGCCACGAACGCCATGTCTCTCGCCGAAATCGATTACCTCTTAATCCTGTTATTTTGAACTGTGTGCGTGTTTCTCGGTTCCCTTCGAGAACTGGGAAGAATGTTACGTGATCTCTATCTGCCCGAAGCTCGACTAGTAACCCTGTTACGAATAGAAATCTCGAACTTTCATTTCGAAGCCTATCTGCAGACCTTTTAGTTCCAGTATTTACATACAGAAATCTGTATTGTTAATTGTCCACTTACAATGTTCAATTTGAGGAAAGAAAAACAGGTTTGTTATAGCTGTAAAAGACAAGTTAAGCTTTCAACCACCGGTATATAAAAATTTTGAACACGGTCACTTTTGTTATACTGTTCATAAAAGTTAAGGCTAGATGGGTGAGTGTGCAACTTGTTCCTCGCAAAATTTATTAAGTAAATGTACAAGTGTGAATATTATTCTACAAGCTTTACTAACGATTTCTTCAATAACATCTACCTATTTGCATGGGATTAACATTTGTTAAATATTTCTTAAGGAGGTCTATCCCCAAATTAAACAAATCAATGATCAAAAACAGTTACTTTTGAGGTTTCTGTTTACAAAGACTACCTCCTCTACCTCGATCGGCATCATTTATCCTCCTCGACTGTTTCCAAACCCGCTACCCTGAAACGTAAAAATCCTAATCAGAGAAAACAGGGAAAATGTGGCTCCAATTTTCAAATATCACGTTACGTGACGATAAAACTGCTCTGGTCGGTTGGCGTACGATCCCGAACGATTCGTGAGAGACGATCTTGCCGTCCCCCGACGAGCTGGAACAAATTGCGAGCAACGATACCGCTGCGATTTCGTGTATCTCGAAATTACGCGGCACTAATTACGAGCGTTTACTGGCAAACGAGCCATTACCACGTAACGAGGTAAGCCTGGAAATTACAATTTTACATCGATTACGAGGCGATCGAGGCGGCGACTTCGATAATCAAGTGAAAGACGCGCAGATGGAACGAGCCCGGTCAAAAGTTAATCCGCCGTCTCGACGCTCGCGGCGTCTTCTAATCCCGTGTGCAGCGTCGATCGATCGCGAATCTATTGACTGCCGCCCGCGTATTAATTAGTGATAGTAATGTCACGGACGTTTAACATGCTTGTCGGCCGTGGGTCGCGAGAAGGGCAGCCAAGTGGACCGCGGTACCACGGGGTCGAAGGTCCTCGAAAAATATCTGTTTGGCGATGCAAATTATATTGCTCCGTCTAGTAACCCGACGACTTTACTCCGACTATGCTAGAGACGAAGAGATAATCGACGAGGCCTTCCATCACTCGTTTCTGTAGTAGAAATTCTTCCTTCTGCTACGTTGTATGTCCCGCGATGAGATCGGAGGACATACAACAAAGGAGGATATAATATATTAATATCACAACCAATATACATATGTAAATATATACTATAAATATTTATCCATGCATATTTTCTGTTTTTCAGATTAGCAAACACCATAAATGTTATAATATACAACGTGAATTAACTCTTTGCACTCGAGATGTTTTCTTAGCGTTCTATTGCCACGAATGCTAAGTTTACATCGACTTCGAAAATGAGATCTCTAATCTGAGATTTGAGAATCAGGTCACCTTTGCCTCACCGACAATCATTTTGGCACTTCGAGTTCTAAAGAAATTAAACCTAAACAAACATTATTGCTCGTTGATTTACTCTGTCAAACCTAGCGATCGACGGTCATCTCTCGAGTGCAAAAGGTTAATTATAACTCTTCATTGTTTACAAACACGATGTAAGCTGTTCTAAACATGAATCCTAAGAATTAATTTAACACGTGAACGCATTAATTATGATTAAAACTTGCAGTTTCTGCAATTCTAGAACAGTTTATACTGAAAGAGAAACTTCATTCTAGCACTTCTTGCACATCGTCTTGACCCAAAACAATAATTACTTGCGCTAGAGAGAGCGCGATTCTTAATGCCTTGCAATTGACGGTTGATGATCTTGCATTTCGAGAGTCACTACTGCGTGCCAAAAGAAATAGAGTGAATGTTACGAGGATACATAATAAAACGAAGCTTGACATTTATCAGCGTGGCGAGAGGTCGTAGAGAAATCTAAACAAAATCTAGCGATTTGTGGCGCGCGTTGATGATCTGAATGGAAATAAATTGAATGAATACACAGGTTAGTCTTAATTAACCGACCAACGGGAATATTATTAAGCATCGCCGCGGTTTTAATCTCACGTTCGTTTCGTAACTTCGTCGGACCGCGTGAAGGTAAACATTCGACAGATCGTTAATCCGTCGAGTGCAGCGACGGATGCACACGGTGTAAATTCGATGCATCGGCAAGCCAGTATGGAAAGAACCCTCGTTAGAGCTGCTTGTTAATTTAATATATTTCACGCGATAGTAGATTATCATCTCGCGAACGACGTATATAGTCCTGCGTAAACGTTACCATTTTTCCCAATGGCAGATAAAGCTGTTAAGAGTGTCGATCGAAACGAATAACGAGCCGTTATCGAGCCGCGTTTTTCCAACGCGCTTTATTTAAATGCACGAGCCCCTTCGACCTGCCTCGATGCCCGCGCAACCTCGTCGTAAATCTCCCGTTATGAACCGAGTAGGTCTACGAGCCAACCGGGTACCACTGGATGTTTCTCAAGGTTCCAGAAAATTGACCTGAAAGTTCAATCGTTTCACAGGCGGCGAGAGCACGCGCTGTGAAAAACTGCATCGGTACCAGCCACGTGCTTCTACTCTTTGTCGCGACGTTCACCTGAGTGGCTTTGATGAGAATCGTGAAACTCGATGGCGAGTCGACACAGTCCGTATACGCTCATTAGCCTATAATTTCCACCTGCCCGAATTGAACCTCTTCAGGGACGATTTTTCTTCGCTCTTTTCTTATCTCCTTAACTAATATTCAAACCATACAATTTTTACTCCTCTTGTCGATGGATTCTGTAGTGAATACGTTATTATCAAACATTTGTCCTTTTTATTACCAACAGTAATTATAATTATAAAAAACAAAACGTCCACACACGTGGCCAAGGGCGTGAAGAAGTTAATACAAAACCATCAGGACTAAACCCTTCCATTTTCTTTTCGTTATAATGCGATAAAGGTATTTGGTACATGAATGAATAAGAAAACTGTGAATTAATATTCCCCGTGGCATTTTTTGCTTCCAGTGACACCGCCACTACCGGCAATCGGAGAATCAGCGTGGGAGAGGGATCACGAGCGAGCTCGGGAGAGACACAGGGAACGAGAACGCGAGAGGGTGCGCGAAAGGAGTACGGAGAATGAGCGCAGGGAACGGCAGCAGGAAAGAGAATCAGGGATCAGGGAAAGGGAGCCACGAGATCGAGAAAAGGATCGAGAACGCGACAGGGAGAGGCAGAGGGACAGAGAAAGGGACAGAGACGTGTCGGTCTGCATGATGGAACCGCTCGATCCTGTCTTCGTGTCCTCCTCGGCGGCCCTCCTCGCATTGCAGAGGATAAAGGAAACGTCCTTGTAAGTACCACCCTTTCAACCAAGCATTCGGATACCGCGTTAATTCTGGAAATGAATTAATTGCGATTTATTTGGTTGTTCGTGGTTCGTCCACCAGACACATCCATTAGTGACTATAAAATTGCACTAGCTTGATAAATATCAATGTTTATGGGAGCAGCAACCGTCTATGTTGTTAGAAATTAATAATAATTAATATTAATAATTAATTTTTATTATAGAAAACATGAGTTATCATAGTGGAACAATTTGATTTCCAGTAAGATTTCAAATGTATTCAACCATTCCTTCTCGTGTTAAACAGGATTTGATTTTCACATTGGCCGTTTGATTTTAGAAATGAATGAATTAATACTCAATTGACAGCAACAGTACTTACATTCATTGTGGTACTTTACACCTAATCGAGTTGGCTGTTTTACAATAACAATATTCCTAGTGATCAGAAAACAACCGCTGGTCAATGACATTCTTTACATATAAGATAATCAAAGGTAGAATACCAAGGAACACAAATCGTAGAAAAAAAAAAAGATGAATCATCGCCGTTAATGATATACCGATTCCTCGAAGAAAAACTTACAGAACTGTTGGCTAAGAGCCAAGAAAAAAGTAATTTGATCAACGCGCACAATCACAAGCAATCAACTGACTTTACGTAACATGTCTGTATCATTTTTCTCGCCAAGTCGATAACCTTCCGCAGTTATCTCCAAGCATTTATCGAACAAAGTTTTCGTATACGGTCAATACCAACCAAACATCGCGCCGAAGAGATGCTGTACATTTGGATTCTTATTAATAATCAAAACCTGACGAAATCCTTTCCTCGAAGTTTCTCTTTTCACGAGTGTCGCAATAAATTCCTCTTCGTCGTTTCGGTACAATTGCAATAAAATCGGACTGCTACCTGGCTGCGCACCTTCATCTTAAGTATCGTATTCGGCGGTTGAACGGTTTGGAATGTAACAAAATAGAAATCGAGGGTAATTATACTGGCAAGCGTGTTTACAAATTCACGCGTCACGGCCACGTCTTACGTGTACGAGAGAACTGCCTTTATTTTATCAGTTTACTATCGGTGGAAAGCAGCAGGACATCGCAGCCATTCGTTCACGGGGCCCACGGTTACGTGCCGTCATATTTCATCGAATGTATAAGCACGCCCAGGGTTAATAGGACGAGATCGTGCACTCGCTGTAAATCTCGTTTAATTTGCTCTCGTGCACTCGCGAATGGCTTTTTCATTGTCGAGGACGCGACGCATAAGCGATTATCGCCAGAGACAGAGTTCGATATTCAGAAACATAGTATTCGCGCGGTTCGATTCGTATATTTAGCAGCAGCGGTAAAAAATTTCAAATCTTTTCTGTCACCTGTTATTGTCAACTCATTTATGGTGTATTTTTGTGGACAATTATTCTAGAATGCTTGAAAAAATATGACACTAAAATTAACTATAAAATACAAATTCTCATATTAAGACATTTGATATTTAATCAAAAAGAAGTGTTTTTTGTTTGCAAAATTACTACGCTATATGTCTATTTTTCTTTTCAATAGCATACTTCGTCCCGAAAATCAATCGTGAACATTACTCGGGCACGCGTACGATTTGACTGACGCGTTTGTCCATTACTCACTTCTTCTACTTGGGTTATTATTTCTGAAGATTAACGCCGGCGCGGTGCCACCTGCTTCATTTGGTTCGAGTTTAAACACAATAAGATTGACGAAAGATACATGGTGTCCATTACGATCTGGACACAATGAGTATTCCAACTAAAAAGTGTTATTAATAAATATCATATCTTACAAATTTTACTTATTCCCTGTGTGTTCAGGTATTTATTAAACAAACTCCCATGGACTCCCGAGTTCCGAGTACCAAAGTTCTGCACAACTTTCACCCGTTTTGGTTGATCGACGCCAATGATGGCACCTTCTGATCCTCCGTGTCCGTGGATCACGTGTACCGTGAAATCGTCACCACCTCCACGGATCGAGGACCGTCTTCTCGTGTCCCAGTGCCGTTAACCGATAGTTATACATCGCGTTTCGCATAAATCTCGGCCCGTTGGTTGTCTGTTCCCATCACGATGTACGTGCAACGTCGACGACTTCCACATACAAGGAAGTACGCACTCGCACACGCACCGTGGTACATTGGTACCCGCATGTCAGAGGCCCCCCGCGGTGGAACTGCCGCGAGCTTGCGGCAATACTTCACGACAAATGTACTTTCCAGTTCCTTCTTTGCCTTTCCAGCGAACTAGGCGCTTACTACTTCCATTTTGAAACAATGATCCATTCGGGGACACGCGGCGGATGTTTAGAGGCTAGAAACACTTCTACGGAATTATCAGGAAATACGACAGATACTATTTACGTTCGCGACAGAGTCCGGTGCTATTCCATTGCGTTTACAATATAGGCTCGTGCATTCGTGGTCGATTATGGAAATTGTTTTGGGATGCAAGGCAGAATGTAGAATGATCTCGGTAGTGGATCCACGATGACTAGGAAGCCAGTACTTTGAATCGATGGTTATTCATTGGATATAAACCTAAAAAATTACCGCGTAATCGTTTCCGTAACATCGCTAACGCAAACAGCTGCCTTCCTAGTAGTTGAGTATCCTTTAGAAATAAAATGTTTAATTTTAATACATTAGAAGTAAAATGTTTTCAACGTGCTACTAGAATTTTCACAGGTATGTGAGCGTTTTTTTGAGGGTAAGGTCTCGACACCAGTAAGTATTGCGGTCCGCGACTCTGTTATCGAGATAGAAATCAATAACCTGCGATGTTGATGCGACTTTAAATAAATTAAACTTAAAAAATAAAGAGAAGGAATTGTATTTCTGAAGGATGCACGAGTACTAGGAAGACAGCTATTTGTACTTTAGAGATTCAAATTTGTAACGCGATGTTATGGAAATGACTGCGCAGCAATTTTTTAGGATTATCAGGATTCGCAGGACTATCTGTGAAGAAAGCTAAGGATTTCGTGCCGTGGAAATAACTAGATCTGTACACGAGATTGTTCCTTAAACAGCGTTGTTCCCTTTATTTAACCCATCAAATATATTGCCCTTATTGTCCAATTAAAAATTTCCAATTTTTATATAATTTTCCATACTGATTCAGAAATCATTCGTCGAGCACCAAATCTATTCTTCGTTTCTGACACAACCTTTTCAGTCCCATTACGTCACGCACACATCTGTATAAATTAATACGCCATCTCTGGCAGTTAGAAACCAATTACCAGGTTGCTTGAATTACATCCACAACAACATAGACTCTTATATGAAATTACAATTGCACAGGTACGTTATTAACTTGATTCATCCTGTTTACTCTCATCTTCTATGAGTACCAGTTTTCTTGGAGTTGTCACAACTTCGCCAGTTTTAGGATCGAATGATACACATTCCATTAGAGTGCAGCCTAGTACTCCAGTTTCGCTACAGAAGCAAGTGTTGCATCCATCGTGATAGCTTCTTCCCGGAATGCATTTTGTTTCTACAGTATAACAAATAGTAAATTGAAAATGAGCTTTAATCTTGAAAGAACGTTCGTCATAAAAGATCGCACAGAATTGTGGAACTCGAGTTCTCTTAAGTTAAACACTCACCAGCATCTTGGCCAAACGCGGTAGAGCTCACGATGACGACCAAGAAAAGGGCGAATATCGTTGACATGTTTCCCGTGTGTTCAGTATCTCTCACTGCCGAAATAATCAAACGACTAGACTTTATATAGATTCTCTATCCATGTGTTTGTCTCACATGATAACCTTACACAATTTTATTTACATCATCATTTGCATACGTAGACTAACATCATGTTTCGTTCACGCATTGCAACATGTTTATCCGAAGATCCTTATACGTAATCGAGTATTACGTAATCTTTCCTTCGACGTGCCCTTTTTGGGTATGACGTAACGTTGGCCCTCTCAAATAACATGTACAAAGTCATGTTTCTACTTTTATTTCGCGATAAAAAAGTTCGTTGATAAGCAGTGATCAGAAAACTACGACTAGTTTTAAATCAAGGGTTTTACCATGCTTGGTGGAATTCAAAATATAGTCAGTGTAAGAAATATTCATACAGCAACCAAATTAAAATAAAACTAATAAGAAATAGGAGGTTAACATTCGAAGTAATAAACTTTAATTTACACGAAATCTACTCTAAAAATGTCTAGGATTGATGATTTATTATTTCTTCCCCTAAAATTTATTAATAAAATAAACATATGAAGTTTTATTTTGAACCGATTCCTGTACGAATACTTATTACACTGACTGTATATTAAACAAGAATTTCTTTTTTGTTGGTTGATATTCATGTTCAAGGGTCACAGATTCTGAAGGTTGTGTGTTTAATTAGATTTCTCTAGTTAGATGTAATGAAAATAGAACGAATTGAATATGAAGAAAGTTCGTTGCTATTCAAACAATGTTATTAACCTTTATATGCCCTAAGTTTCAAACACCGGACTTTTAAATCGAATTGTACACTCGCAATTGTTCTTTATATTTGGCTGTAGGTATTAATACACAATCTCTGGCAATTAACAGGTTGGTTGAATTACATCCACAACAATGTAGACTTTTATATTAAATTACAATTGCACAGGTACGTTATTAACTTGATTCATCCTATTCCGTCTCATCTTCTACGAGTACCATTTTCCTTGGAGTTGTCACAACTTCGCCAGTTTTAGGATCGAGTGATACGCATTCCATTCGAGTGCACTCTAGTACTCCAGTTTCGCTACAGAAGCAAGTGTTGCATCCATCGTGATATCTTCTACCGGGAATGCAATTTGTTTCTACAACGTAACAAATAGTAAATTGAAAATAAGCGTTAATCTTGAAAGAACGTTCGTCACAAAAGATCGCACAGAATTGTGGAACTCGAGTTCTCTTAAGTTAAACACTCACCAGCATCTTGGCCAAACGCGGTCGAGCTCACGATGACGACCAAGAAAAGGGCGAATATCGTTGACATGTTTCCCGTGTGTTCAGTATCTCTCACTGCCGAAATAATCAAACGGCTAGACTTTATATAGATTCTCTATCCATGTGTTTGTCTCGCATGATAACCTTACACAATTTTATTCACATCAGCATTTGCATACGTAGACTAACATCATGTTTCGTTCACGCATTGCAACAAATTTATCCGAAGACACTTATACGTAATAGAGTATTACGATATCTTTCCTTCGACGTGCTCTCCTTAATTACCGATAGAAAAATGAGAATACATTCCACATTTCCGCACTTCAAAATTGGTTCGTGGATAGCGAATTCGTTGTTTATGAGAATTTTTTTAAATGTCTAAAACAAATCCTCGTATTTTCTCTAATTTATTTACACTTACATGTTCTGTTATCGCTTATCTAATGCAAACACCGATAAAAGAAACGATGACCTTTTGCTACAATGCATGTATTACATCTTCTACTACATAGTTATCGCTTGAATTGCAGCTCGACATTTCTCTCGAGATATCTGCTGCACTTCAAATTCTGATTCTCGGTTGAGAAAAATGTACTGGACAAGATTAATTGTTTACGTTCGTGGGGAATGTTGTAGCAGAAAATTTATTTGTTACCAATCAACTCGAGAGAATAACTGACTCTCGATTAATTTGACTGCTCGAATACCAAGTGACACGCACGTTCGGCGTGGACTCGAAGATCGGAAAATCGCGCGCCAACGGGGGGTGGGGGGTGGGGGTGGAGATGAACGAGGGTTGCGTTTCTTCGTCGGTTGGACGCAGATCGAGATAAGAGCGAGTCGGATTATCGCGAGTAGAAGCGGATTTATGCCAGTTTAAACACCGAGCTGCGGGCCTGGTTTACGGCACGAAGCGTGCGAGGCTGGGGCTTCGTTCCGATGAAATATAGCCCGACTGGGGATGCGTCAGTGGGCACTGACGCTGTTTTATCCGGTCAAGCTGAAACGCGAATTCCCCCAGCTCGGGGCACAGTGACGCGGTAGCAGTGGCGCATAATCCTATCGACAAAAAGGAGGCATGCCTAGAGCCACGATCAAAAGAGACTATCCAAAACAATGGTCCAAAAACGTCGTCGTTATTCAGAAATAATGTTACCAAGGTTGTGTATAATGTTTGTGTGCTCGAAAGAGTAAAATATTGTGTTGGAAACTTTCCCTGGGGGGAGAGGAAGAGGGGGGGGGGGGGTTAAACATATTATGTTAGACATCAGATGTATTCTTTCTGAACTATTGTTCTTGTATTTCTCGCAAGTTCTGCACGTTCTTCGTTTTGTCACAAGAAAATGAATTTGAAAATATTCTTGACCTGTATCGATTGCTTTTCAAAGACGGTAACCCCAAATTCCATTTCGCTTTGGGTCCCTTACGATGCGCCACTGCAAGTAGCGTGAATTCCTCGAGCGCGGACGAGCTTGACCGGAGCATGTCCCGTCGCGATCGCATAATTTATATCCAGAACGAATTTATAGAAATTCGTCCGTATACGCGACTTTGTTTACCGTGGTACCCGTTATATTCTCCTTCGGAGAATTATGGCACCTTAAATTCCGCCGCGGCCCATCGCGACGCCTTAAGGGGTAACACCTGGTCGAAGGCGTAAAATATACACGGTTCTTTGAAAAAATATACATGACAGTATGTAACTGTACGTTCGAGAAAGGTGTCCTCGTTCGGTACTGTACAATAACTCTCGTTTAAAAAAATATTTTTCTTGTAACGGGGAGTTGATTTTTTTTTTTTATTATAAATAATACATACTGTCCACGATTTTTCAAATGTACGAACTTGCAAAGCACTGATCTACGAAACCAATTTCTTAATCGATCCCTTAAATCTTCCAACTCGATGTAACCAACTCTCTTCACCCATTAGATACGTTTTATGTCGCGAAATATCCTTTAACAGCGGTGTGCACTTCGATGGAGGAACAATCGGCTGCACGCGTACGAATTTGGTCACCGAACGAGTTTCGCATGGCTTCGGGATAAGATTGATCGACTGCGGTTCGACGTGTTTTCGCTTCTTTTTAGCGGGCGAAGACAAAGTTGAACAACCGCCGTACATCATCCTGAGAAATCGTCTAACCCGTTCCTGACAGCCATTTCGGTGGCAGTCTAAAGTATCAGCTCGATTCTGCTCGCTATTCCTCGCCCCGTAAATTAATCCCTTGATGTCGATTGTAATCAATCCTACATACATCCTAATATAAGAAGACAGTCAAGAAAAAACAAAATACAAGAGCACAAAATCAGACCAGATTCAGCACTAACTAGATGCAGAACTGCATCAGAAACAACAGACTTCCTCAAAGAGACCAATATACGCATCAGTATACATAAAAATATAATACAAACCTAACATTTACACGACAATTAATATTTCTCGCTAAAGAAAAAAAAGATCGCTCTTCGATATCAATCCCTCTTCTGCAAAAGATAATTTGAAACACTCCAATGTGTTTCAACACGTTCGCTTTTTGAAGAAAACCAACCTCTTTCAGGAATAGTAATCTATAGTCGAGTAGCTTCTTTATAGTCGCTAATATCCCTTTAAAGAGGTTCATGCGACTATAAGTAACTGATATGAAAGAAAAAGAATTGTCAATAAGCCTAAATGCCTGACCAGCGATCCTTTTCGATATCTAATTTTGCAATAGACGATGGGCTTAATGTTTCGGTGTCGGCTTACGTGGAATAGGCACGAGTGTTCTGGCCAATAAAATTCAGGAAAGCTTAGGAGGTTTGTTCCTGGAGACGCCGAACGGAAGCAATATCGTTTCTCCTGAAACGAACGAGCGGAAATCGCGGCGTTTCTTCGGTCAACCGTTCTTTGGGGCGAGATCTTGAAAAATTATAATGAACCCCGCGCGTAAGTCCGTGCGCCGACTGCAAATCATAATGGAGTATCAACGTTTACCCCGTCGGTCACGGTATCTATTATAGGGGACAAATGATTCATGGATATTCACGAGAGTGCTACGCAAAATGTTTTGACGTGAAAAAGTCAAGTGATTTATGGACGCGTTTAATGCGTCCGCGCAAGAAAAAGTATGAAAGATGGCGGCCGTTTTAAAAATCGTTCTTAAGCAATGAGAAACGTCTAATGCATACGCGTAATTAAATACCCAGATGCGAACGTTTAATTTTAATTTGCCGAGTATATTACGCGACAGTGAAAAAAATTAACGATGTTCCTTTAATATCGTGTCATTTGCGTAAAAGCATTTGCTCGTGGCTTCTTGCAAAAGGGTCACAATTCTCATTTATCTTCGGTCCTGTTTGAAAGCGCAGAAGCACATTATCGATTCAACTTTCTTTCATACATTTCCAATGCCTATTTAACATTTATAAACTCGCTACGAAATCCATCATTTCTCGATACGGTGTATAGTGGAAACAGCCAGCAATACATCTATGAGTGCAGCATTTTGTTTCAATAGTTAAGTATCTTTACATAGTTGTCTGAAATATCGTACATTCACACATACATACAAAATTTTGTAATATTTTTAGACTTCGAATTAGGGATATAGCAAGTTAGCCAAAAAAAAAAAAGAAAAATCGGTCGCAAATGTAATGTTTACTTAAAATTAAACATCATTCGAAATAATAACTTGAACCTCGTTTATTCTCAAGAACACGTACGAAGATTGTCTCCGTTTTTGCGAGACGTCTCTGAAACTTGAAAGGCTCTAATTTCTCCGACGATAACTGATTATCGCGGCGCTTCTAAATCCGCGGAACCCGTTATGGAAAATCACAGGTAGTTCCCCAAGTTGCAAATCGCGCATCCCGTTAAAAGTCAGCGAGCAACGTTTCACCTGGCGTTCCGTTGTTTCGCGCGCGTTTCCACCGAACCGATTAACGTAATGACTGCCACTTTTTTATCGTTCTCTTTTCCCCGGCGAATCTGGTATTATTCATAAGCGAATTCTTTCTTCTCGATGTTACGTCCGGGTGTATACGTCCGTTGGATGTTTTATGTATCACGTATCAGCAAGTAATTTCACCCGTTCTTCATCGAACCGGTCATAACACACCGGAGTACATCGATTGATAAACACGATGCTACCATGAATAATGCATACCAAAAACTTTCTGTATAAATCCATGACAAGCGCACTCGAATTTGTCGATTCACCGGGTGGCTTCCACGGGAACGTGAAACGAAGGATCGCGTATTGTCGCGAGGCAGCCCGTATTAAAGATAAAATAACGATGAAGACATCTTATCCATATCTAAATTGAAATCAGCGCTCGGGGTACCAGTTTCTCGAATTTCTTGTCGCGCTTCTTTTCGCCGTACGTAATCAATGTCACTGCGAGTATCCGCTACAGTCGCCAGCAGTGAGCGACGATGGGATGCAAAAAAAGAGCGCTCATCGACTGGCAACCTGAATTAATTCGTGCGTTGCGCGGTCCAGCTGGACCGAATTGTCAGGAATACGATTTATTTGAGTCAGCGTTTCCCAAATTATCGTTTACGCGACATAGTAAGTGTTCCATGTACTTTTACGTAAAGATCAAAGGTCTATAGAGATTAATTTTATGTGTTAGTTCATTCCTTAAAGTGAACATTCACTTCGAGTCTGGTGCAATTAAAATGACTGACGTATCAACTTCGAAATAAAGGTTACTGACGGTTCGGAAAAAAATTGCAAGCTTGTCAATTCTTGAGATTCTTACATTTAAAAGAAAGTATACCATATGTAAATTTCATTTCATCTGAAATCATTTTCGAGTTAAATTGTTTATCGTTACGTTTGAGACCTTTCGGTCACAGTTTTAATTATTTGATCATGGTGTTCTTTGATTAATGGAGATTTTTTTTCTAATTTCAGGGTCTTTCACAAGCGTCCCGCACTGGCGACCGGAATAGGAATCAGCAGTAGAGGAAACGCTGGGGTCGGTGGAAATGGCGGAGGTTTAGGGGTCGACAGCGAGTGCGGCGACGCGTTGAAGAGACGCAAAGTTCACAGATGCGATGTGGCCGGCTGTGACAAGGTGTATACGAAGAGCTCCCACCTGAAGGCTCACAAGAGAACTCACACCGGTAAGTCCGTCGAAAGATATAAGAATTATGTAAACATAAACATTTACCCAGATATTTCAACAAGTTTTGCAAGAAGTTTACAAGGAGCTCTTTTAATCGTATTTAACCCTTTGCACTCTGCGCTATTTCGTTGCAAAATTTGCGAACAGGAATCGCATTACATGAAATAGCCTAACTTTGGAAATGTGTCTTTTTTCGTATTATTAGAATTGATTATAAATTCTTATAGTTTTTTTGAAGCGTTGACCCCACTTCAAACATAAAGAACTCATTTACAAAATTATTAATCTAAGTATTAAAATTATTAACAAAATTTGTTAGACTTACGATGTCTCCTTATAAGGGACATTCGAGTGCGAAGGGTTAAATTATTCAGGGTTCACCCTGACTTTTGAGGTTTTAACACAAGTGAATATCAACAAGACTGGTAACTCAGTCCTACCCGTGAGCCAGTAATACCTAAACGAAACGCCATCTTGCCTTCAAAATTTATGTTATAAACTATGTTGCACTGTGAATACATTCTAACTGGTCAGAATTTAACGTTCTGTCGTTCCTGCCGCGCGTCGAAGGTATAAACCTTTCCGTGCCGTTCAGGCTACACCCATAAATTCACCGCCTTTCGTCGTTTAATATTTTTATTAGCTTCTAAACGCTTTATTGTCTGCGGATGATTCACGCACGCGTGTCAGCGATCGCCCGCGCGGAACGTCGTTTCGTCATAGTTGAAATCGTTGGGAGATTTTTTTCTCTCACTATAGGGGATCGTGACGGTTCGCAGGTGACGTTCCCGTTTCAAAGTGAGACCTGCTCGCAATTACGAGCACTCATTACATCGTGGTTAATTGGCAGGCCGATACACTAGTGATTGACCTCTGAACTCCACGCCTGAGATGGGCAACATTTTATTAATAAATAACAGTGACGTATAGCAATTTGTTCTAAATTGCTGAGCTAAATTTCTGGAACATTGTACACTTCGACATCCGGATTCACCTCTCTAAGTATCATTAAAATTCGCGGTGGGAACAGTTGTAGCCCTAGGTCGTGTCGCGAACAGACTGATATCCCCTGCGACCTAAGCGCAAATGGTAAAAGGAAATTCCCCTTTTTGCTCGCGCGGTTCAGGCCTCGGTTTGGCGTGCTTTGCGGTCATTAAGCAATCTTCCCACGTTAACTCGACGGAGACAGCATTATTAACAAATATACCTAACGCGGCGAGATTCACCCCGATAACGATAATAGTTAACTCTAAAATATGGCCGGTAGTAAAACGTGCTGTCTCCACGGATGGGTCATCCAGTCGACCGGGAGTCATTACTCATCGCCAGCCTTTGATTTCCAGTAAAGATACTCGATCCGAATGGAAAAGCCTGAACAGAGGCTCTGGCAAACGGGAGGAATGCGGATCGCGCAATTCGCGGAATTTTTATGGTACATGGCGAGTCCCCGACTCACGTGGTCAATTTGTTCTGGATCTCTCTGCTGAAGTCAAGTCATGGACATAGTATGCAACTGAACAGAGCTATATCGTCGAAACAGTTACGAAGGTTTTTCCAAAAGGGACTGTAAGGATTTTATCTTTTAATAACAAAATATTAGTGTTGTCATCGTGGACACTAAGATATCATCTCTTACGTTCGATTGTAATTACGTGCACTATCATTTAAAATAAAACAATCTGTGGTATATTGATAGGAGGTACTTTGACTGTCACTTAATAAAATAGCTGTATAGCTTGCGGCAACATACATCAACGAATTATTTAAGAAAAAAAGAACACTATTAATCAATGATTATCCGCGTTATAAAATCACACACAATACCAGCACACTTCCAAAGGGTATAATCCGGTGAAAAGTATGAGGTTATTAATTTAGCGATGCCAGATTGCTAAAATAACGCACACTGTACTCAGAATTCCGAGGATTCCAGGCATATTCGTCTCATAGAACGGCTTTTTACACTCGACGAGGGTCAGGGGTCTGGGACACTCGCGTCGCGGTGAAGCGCATGGTTCCGAGCCGCTTAGAAATTCGATAATGCTCGAAAGTGACGCTGTATACTATTCGTGGACAATGCATTTTTCAGCACGACCATCGCGTTTCATAGGAACGCTCCAACACGACCATTTATTATCGCCTCGCGAGAACCTGGAGGAGGTCACACCGTTCGTTTCTCGCTATACACGCGCTGGCCACCGTACGTACGTGTGTACACAGCGTTGAAGAAGCCACGGCATGAAGAATTTCCGGTGGATAGGTACCTTCGTGAAGGCATTGCCGCCGTCTAAGAGAGTGCAGAGGCGGCGGGGAGAGGGCGTGGTCGTGAGAACCAGGATCTTTTGTCTGGTCCATGGTTCAACCAAGACGGTGCAACCGCGGTGCTCAACCTCGACCCAAGAGTATCGAGAAATTTTTAAACAAAACACAGCCGATTTCGTGATCTTTTAACGTTGAAACTACCGAGGTCAACAGATACCTATTGTACATACAACGGTGTCTTTGTAATTAGAGAGACAAATTAGAATTAGAAAGAATTAGTGAGTTCATTGACTACGTAATTACAATCTTTTGAATCGACCACTTAAAATAAATAAACTACTATTTAGGATCATGCATTTTCTAGAATTGAATATTGTGATTGTTTTTGTAAGATACACTAAGGCTGTTAGCTATTGAAATAAATTAATGAAGAAATTTTAGTGGTTGACAGTACACGTCAATTACCGATAAATTGCATGTCAACTATTAACCCATTCGCTACCAACTATGAGATGTCAAACGCAACATTTTATTGCTACAAACGCAATAAACATTTTCACAGTTAGCACAAAAGTAGCTTTCCACTAATGTATAATTACATGTATTTTATTTCGATATTCGGTTTAAAAATAATATGAATCGTTGATTGCAATTCCAGAAGTAAAATTTTATTCGTGTATGTTACTTTGCATTCCAGTGAAGTATAAAATAATGCCTATGAGAGCAATTATGGTAACGTTTAGAGTTGCACCATTTAAGTTATTCTTACTAGTTTGCGTCAAAATTTCACCAATTTTGTTGATCCGTTTTTATAGATATGAGAAGTTCCAGTCGTTTCGTTGGCTGTATCCATGGCGATGTCCGTGTCAGAATCGTTCCTTTTTTTTGCCATTACTATTGCGAGGTGTTTAGATTGTTATAGTCGAGGATTGTTCGGATCACAATCCTTATCTTCGGCACACCCTAGGAATCCTCCTTGGTGACAGTAACACACCCTGCATCCCTCGCGAGTTATTTTACCCGGATCGTCACATGGAGCCCCTTTGGAATGATATATGATAAAATAAGAATGGTTAACGATCACTGACGTCATTCGTATCGAACGAACGCTCAGAACCGCGGAACTCGTTGACGTTATGGTACTCTATGTTCACGATGGAAAACTCACCAACCTCCGTGGCAAACGCGACAGAGCTCATCAGAGCCAAACACATGAAGAAGAAGAAAAGTTTGGACATGTTTCTCGGTCGTTCGATGTCTCTTACTGTCGACATTGACGAACGACTGACTTTATATAGGTTGTCCATTGACATTTTTATTGTCAACGTATCGATAACCTCTCACATTTTCCTCTAAAGATTATCAATTTCACACTAAAACTGTCGCCGATACTTTACAAGTTTCCTTAACAAGACAATCATGAAAGCATTTACATTGCAATTGTTTCTCTGAACGGTTTTGAAAAACTGTTCAAAATTGTATACTTCAATATTCGTACGTGTTCAATCTATTATTAATTTTAAACAAATTGTATTCGTGTAACATCGGAAACAAACTTTATCTTTATTTATTTGTCATCTAGTATATAAATGTTCAATGTCAGATCGATAAAAGTGAATGAGCTGATGAGTGATAAACAAGTATTTAACGTTGCAAAAATGATATTACTTTCCAGTCTAACTAATACGAAAGTACGTCGATATTTAATTGTATTTCTCGTTTCTACTATACAATAGCACTCGTGTTTCGTGTTTGATTACATATTTTAGAGATCAGGATCATTTTGAGGTGCTACTCGTTTTCGGTTCATTGCTCCACAATCCCAGTAATAATTCTTTACTATTCTTGTTCTGACTTTATTTCACTTTTCTACTTTTTCTGCTGATTTTGATTTTCAACTTCATAGCTTGTATTTTTCATTATCCTTTCTTTTATATAATATATACATAGTTTACACTTCATGCTACTTTTCATCTTTTTCTTTTCCTTTCTCTTTTCTTTACTTCGTATTATTTTATTCCATTCCCATTATATTGTTTTCGAGATTAGATTAATACAAGCGTAGTTGTTAGTTATCTTCCCTTCATTCTTATTTCCATTGAGTACTTCATTTTTTACTGTGTACAATCTTCTCGTAACAAAGGCGTACTATCATTATTATTTTCTTTGTTCTCGCTATCGCAGGCGAGACTGGTAAATTCTTGCGTTTCATTGGAATCCTTAATTACGTTTATTTCTTCTTCACAATCGTGTAAAGTTTCTATTTTATTCTCGCTAAACCATTTCGTTGCAATTTACTATCAATCCGTGTCGATAACCTTTGACAATTTCTATTATACATTTATTTATTTTCGTTCAACAAATAAATTAAACTTCTCCGCGACGGATCGAAGGTTAAGCGTCGGTTTGATTATCGTATTCACAGAAGGCTCGCGCGATCATACTTCATCAGGGTTCCATAGTATTCGACGACATCGCGCGTCGTTACCTTTCTTTCGATATTACGGTTTCCTTATGAGGAACTAGCGAGCGAAGATCGGTACACGTTTCACGCATTAGGATGCCATTATCGCGACAGGCAACACGATACCTGGATACAACAACCGAGCCTGATATGCCAACGCTGTCGTTGTGCGTCCTGCAGAAACTTTCGCTATAATAATTGTTCCAACGAGCGGCACGAACATGGCAACGGATACGTACCGCGCGTATATCCATCATTCTAACACCGCGGCATTATCCAGCCATCGCGATATATTTACAGAGGCGGATACAGCCACTCTGGATGTGGGAAATGCCAATTCATTGATTACTGTTATTTCTACCATTCCGATGCATAAATCGTCCGCGGATCGTGTACTCGGCGAAACGATCGTCGCTGCTCTTGGAAATGATGGAATTCGTCCCGTACGAGGAATGTATTGTTTTCGACGTTGAACGAGCATATCAAAGGCACCTCAATTACAAGGGGCTAACTTATAACCACACGAAGTGTGAACATTATCAGAAACTACGTAATTGTGGATTTCACGAATAGGTAGGATTTTGCATACTCGTAATTAGAGTACGGTCATATCAGGGATCTTCTAACCGAATATAACAAGAAGCCATTTTAGTATAAATTTTATGCAAATTTTGTTCAATTATAGCATAATTACAGTATGATTAGACACCGATTGATTAGACATCGATTTCGTTTCGCCACAAGAGTGGCACACTCCCGTAAGTATTAATCAGCGCATATTATTGGCAATCCGCTTCATTTCGTGCAATTCGAGTGTCACCGCGATACCAAAGAGCCGCAGCCGCAGTCGCCATTTACCATATCCTTGTAATATTTCGCCTCTCTGCCCCGCACAATGTAGCTTCCGATGTTCGTGGCGTGTGTTCGAAAGATTCATGATATTGTAAGCGGTAGCGTGGACCCCTATTACTCCATTATACAGTTTGCGAGCGGCACGATATAAATTCGATGCAAATTCCACCGTTCGTGCCGTGAGAATCATCAATCATGGTTAGCAGACTGGATTCGGTAGTTTCGGTGCGTTTCGTTACGAGCCACCACCGATTTCAGGATGATAGCGTTCAAATTCCGTACATGCATCGCGCAAAAGCGAATATGAACATCGTGGAAGATTCTCCGAACTTCGGATCGAACTTCGCTGGGAACAATTTCAGATTCATTGTTTGGGAAAGTTTCACGAATAGATAGCATCATTTCACCTATTTGTGTGTTAAGCCTCTATGGGAACGAACCGTGTATGGAGCAAATCAATATCGAAATTGATAATTAATAACTCTTGTCGTATAACCTTATGACAATGTTGCTTTTGTAAAATAAATACGAATCAATGTAAACTTCAAACAAATTGACTGTATAAAACACTAAGACTGTATAATACATGTATAAATAAACACACACATTATACATTGTATATATACCACGCAACTGCGCACGTATTATATATCATGCACACATCATACAAATGCACACGCATTAAGCATACCTCACAAAATATTTAATCCCTTCGATTATTATACGAAAGGTGCGCAGGGTAATTGAAGTTTTCACGCAACCAGTGAACGCGTATCATGCGGTTTGGCTCGTCTGGGAATCGCGAAAAATTCTATCGGGTCAAGCGCAACATGAGAATCGCTACGGGTAACCGTCGGAATACGGCGGCATAGTAGCGTGATCCTTGATGGACAGCAGGAGGTTCGGTGAGATCTCGTGTATTAATTAAGGCGAATTAGCCTTGGCATGAACTAGACAACGAGCGTCGATCGGTTCCGTGTATCGAAGGATACCCCGATCGCTCGGGATCCTCGTTCTCTCCGTGCCAGCCGTGCACCAGGCATTCGCCGTCAGACCTGCCATTAACAATGCACTTATGCATCACTGTTAAGGGCTACGATTACCCACGCTCCGATCACAATTTCCTGGCGAGCCGGAGTCTGTATTCTCGTTATCGAGTCCGGCGCACTGGACGCGGTTTTAAATTAAATCCCTCTTCTTTTATTTCCGCCGCCGCGGTCAGTGGCTTTCGGTGCCCATCGAAGGCCAATTTCGATCGATTATCGGCGTCCGCGCGATCATCGTACCGATCGTCACTGTTTTTTCGTTTCTTGTTCCTTTGGGAACGAATGAGAAATCTATTGATTGATACCGATATTCGACGAAGAAAGGAGGACATCGAATTTTTTTTCTCAAAAAGGAAATATATATAATTTATTGAAACTTCGAGAAAACTTTTTAATTTTTTTTTTAAAGTATTTCATCAGAACATATCAGATGTAACTGTTCGTGTACATACCAATAGAGTTTCAAATCCACATTAAAGATTGTCGAAACAATTAGATGGAAAGGGTTTATTGTACGTCAAGGAAAGTCTATTATTATCCAGCTCGTATGGTAATATCGTTGTTTATATCGGCGCTGAGTCCGTATCTTTAATTGACGTCTGTGATACGTGAAAGACCTAGGGTCTGTACGAGATACGAAGCCTGGCGTCGAGGGGTTAATAAGCTATCATCATTTGCATTCAAGAAATACGGTTTCAAAGAATTTGCTTTCAGTGAGATGAAAGTGAATACATTGTATTTTCAGAAGACAACGACAGTTCGTATGAAACGAAATATTTTTATATGTACACTTTATTTATAGGATGCTTTGTTTCTAAAATAAAAATTGAATAGTCCGAAGTACGTTGCAAAAATTGAATTTCCGGAAAAAGGTCTCGTAATTTTTTTAAGTTTTATCTCTAGAACCAATCGTCGTATGGATAAACTATAAATATTAAAAATTTCCGTCTTTTCATCCCCTATAAGCTGATATTTTTTTTTTAAATTCACAGCTCCACGCTTCTTACAATTTCCAGCAAACATAGTCCCGCGGTCAAAGGGTTAATGAAGAGTCACGTCACCATTTCTGGATGACATGGCGACCTACGTATTAAATTCATTTATTTAGATAGTACAAGACGTTTCACAGGTGTACGTGTTACTTTACCCATCTCTTAATCGTGATTTCAAGTACGCTACCCACCATCCAATTTCTAGCTACGCTTCATCGCACCCAGCGCGAAGAATTCTGTATTCCACGCGACGTTAATGGCGTCTCGTTGATAAATCGAGTTCGCGGTTAATTGAAGCTTCGGTTAACGCACCGCCACCCCGCTGATATATTTTATTAAACCGCGACAACGGCGTAAATAATTAATCGCGCGTTCGCGGGGTATTAGTCCTCGGCGGTGTTTCTTGCCGCTAACGAGTGTTGTTATTTACTAGGAGCCCAGGCTGAGCGTACACCGCGGGAGTAGCTGGTGGGCGCATTAGGTGGACGCCACGCAGAGCCGACAACGCGTACCTAGAAATCCGGAGATTCGTTCTTTCCCCTTTCTTCTAACCGTTTCTCTTTTTTTCCATTGCCGTTCGCTCCTTATTCCCGACACGCATGGCGTCGATCATCAATGCTCGTCAGCTTTCACACGTCTCGCGATAGATACACGTAGGGTTGATGGCTAAGTGTTAGATGACACTCTTTGGTGGTCTCGTTTAAAGTCGTCCGATGTACGATGTACCGTTTTTTGATGAAATCTATTCATGGAATGTATTTTGGTGCAGAACTTACGAAGGTTTTTAATTGAGCGAGTTGTAGGTTCACACCGTTTCATTCCGAATTGAAGTTTGTCCAAGAAGAAGTGTAATGCCCTAGCCGTGTGTATCATACAGACGTGTTAAGATGTTCAATTATCTCTATTCACTGATTTTTATTGTAATTTTATTTCAACT